TGGATGAACGGATGTTTGTGAAGGTCAAATATGAAGGAAAGTTGGCCACAATTAGTAATTGTCTAACCCGGCATTCTTGCTCTAAAAAAGATCCGATTTAAAATGTTAATAATGATGACAATTGTCGTTACTTTGAATTAGTCTGGTAAGGTGAATTAACTCTTGATCACTTTTGATTCGGAAATTTCGAAGTAAACTTGTCAGCCTCCGATTGTACTTCAATAAAAGTTTTCATTTCTTTTTTGTTTATTCAGTATACAAATGTACAATCAACTTTCTGAAAGTGTGCCGCGACCATACAAAGGCTTCCTTGGGAACTACATAAATAGGGAAGATGGCCGCCGGTGGCCGAGTGCNTAGGGAAGATGGCCGCCGGTGGCCGAGTGCGAGGACTTTAATCACTTGACCACCAGTATAATAATGCAACAGCGGCATATGATTGATGGTTGTTACTCAACGCATGATGTGCTTATTTTCTTAACTGCGAGGGAAATATGAAAATTATACGGCGAATTCGATCCCTGGTTGCACCGGAGTCTTTGTGACATCCTTTTTTCTCCCTCCTCACTTTCACCTTTTTTCAGATACTACCGCTGATCAAAGTTGAGGATAAAGCCAAATATACCGCAAAACTGCAATGGTTTGCTATTAAGAAGGGTACTCGTGATGGAGGTGAATTGTTAGCCGCTGCTGAGTTGATTTTGGTGAGTTTTCTATCCTTTACCTCTTATTCTTCCGCGCGTCTGCACCCCGAAATTTAATGGAGAGTTGGAATAGAATTTGTGTAACGTATATAGAAAGCATTCTGGCTTGGTTGTGCATATCTCATCATTGGTCCTGGGTTGATCAATGACTGGAATTCCTTTTCACATTTGTTATCCTATTGAAACTGCTCACGTTAACAGCAATAAGCCAATCGGTTGTTTCGAGCACAGATACCGGTATGGAGATTCGGTGGGAGGAAAAAATACACTAGAAATTGCCAATTAATTATGCGTGGCCCGGTGTGTTGCATTCGTTCAAGTAACTTGAAGAACACACTGCATGCACCCGCCGGATACTTGCAATATACAATGAAATTATCAGGGAAGTTAATCGGAGATGACAGGACTCCGATGCAAAAATGCTGGCACTTCACGGACACATACATACGAACTTCCTTCTTGTGTTTTTTGGTCAAACTACCAAAGAATGAGTATTCAATAAACTGTACTCTCTTATTAAATATGTGATCTTACAAACAACCGTTCGGGAAGGAGCTGAGCTGCAAACCGACAGGCATTGTCTGTGGTTACACGGACAAGGGGAAAGGTCGAGTGATGATGTTTACATTCGAACGTCCAACCGCCGGTCCTGTAGGATGGAGATTTTAAACCCTCGATCACAGTCACTAGTGAGTGGCCAGTTTGACATTGCGACCGGATTGGTTACTGGAACTATGGGAACTGTTGATATTTGGTTTTTATATAATATTTAACTAATTGGGTTTTTAACTGATTTTTAATATTACTGCCATTAATTGTCACTTGAAAGTTTCACCGTTGCTTGCATATTTGGTATAGCACTTAAAAACCGGTTAACAAAATGGTAGAAAAAGTAGCTGTTTAAGGAGTTGCAGTGGTAGTAATAGTGACAATTTATTCCCATGGATAATGATTTTGATCGAGTCTTAGGTTTGATTGATTGCTGTTTGCTGAATCCAATAATACCCATTCAATGAACCCACCAAGTATTCATCCCGAGTTCTCACAAGATAATCCGACTGAAATATCAATTTTCTGATCGTGGTATTTCATCTTATCTGTGCAATGTATAGCACTACCCGTATATTCAAACTCAAAACCCCTCCGATCACATTAGGATGAGTATGGATATTATTCCACAAGGAAATTGCGAAGGTGGTCTGTGTTATTCTGTGCCCACTAGAAGTGTCTTTGGCTCTTCAGCTCTCCGGTGAGTGAGTGGGTAGGAAACTTGCACTGGGCCTGTTACGTCTCAGGTTCGACCCTCATTGAGGCCGATAAGGAAGCCCAAGCGGTACCATATACCACGGTCAAGTCAACTGTGCGGTTAATTTTACCTTTTGCATTCAAATTTATCCTAAATTTGATGAAGTGATTTAGTACTCTCGGGAACGGAAACAAGTGTACAAACATGGAAGTGTCCGACAAACATACATTTCTACCCCATGTTCAAAAGAAGCGAAAATATCATATGCAAGGAAAAATTGTGCGCCAGCCGACTCTGGAATATGAAATAGTCGCCTGTGCCCGATCACTGCAGACAAACAAGTGGTATCATGTTTATTTTAACCCAGAGCTTTTGTGGATTCTGATACACTTCAGTCAAATGTGTCATAAAAGTGATGAAAATCATTGTCCCCAACTAATAATTATAATAACCGATCTGCTTGTGCTTGTTTACTCTGGAAAACCGATGTCCCCAAACCCAGCGCGGATGAATGAGTGAGAGGGACAGTATGATAAGTGACGGATGTACAGGGGTGTTGAAGTATCTTGTGGGTCAGGTCAAAACACTAGTCGATGCCTTGTGTAATGAACACACAAAGTACAGGCTAAATGGGGAAAGAGTGGTGAAAACCATGACCAATAGTTGTTGCTTAGTCACGGTGTAGTGCTGTTTCCACAATCGGAGAAATATTCCGGGAGAACAACAGAACAATATGGGGAGAGTACACAGAGGGGTACACCTAAAAATAACTCGCTTTAGAGTTCGAAACTGCCTGAATTTTCGGATTGGAGAGAATAGATGTTTAAGACTTCCAACGCACATGAGATGCTTATTTTCAAATAGTCACTCAGTGAACTCCTGAGAGAACTTAATCCACTTTGAGGACTGGAATTTACCAATTGTGGACTGAGAGCAAGATAGGGTGTGCGAAAATCGGGCTACAACTGTTTAAGCCAAGTCGCTTCAGCGTGCTTTGACAATTCGAATCACAAATGCAGTCAGAGAATGGCACCCGAAACATTGTTCACTTGATTTAACTCAATTTAAGGGAGAAGGGGGAGAATAATTGGCTGAATTACAAAACGGATTCTGTCCCACGCAAAGCTTAGGAAAACTTCAACGGAAGGGTTGAAAGCGAATACCGTCAGATAGGTTCCCCACTGGTCAACCTCTGCGTTCTACCTGTGAGGTCCTATTTTCGATCCCTGATTGGACCAATAAATTTCTGCAACTGAGGATACTCAAGTAAATTAAAACATCAGTTCGGTTGTTTCCATCTTTTATGGCCTGTATCTCTCACTTCTGAAAAAAATAATTTCATTCGTTCATTGTTCAGTGAACTTTAGTGAGCCGTTGATAAATGACAATAATTTGGGAAGTATGCATTCATAAAACGCCTTGAATCATTTTGTGAATACGGAAGAGTTTCCACCAACCAAGTCCTCCTCAGTCTAACCAATGTTATTCACAAATGTTGTTATTGCTTCACTCTCCAGTTGGATGGTCGTGATCCACCTGCCCCACCCAGACGTCGTGGGGACTTGTACGCCGTTCCGGATACCGTGCGCCCAGTACTTCGACGCAAAGGAATTGAAATTCTCTGTTGGGGTGTTCGAAATATGGCTAAATACCAGTTGGCCAGTGTGAATTCGCCGTCAGTCGAATTCGAAATTAACGGTGTGGTGCGTGAGTCAAGCATTATCAAGAATGCCAAACATCATCCAAACTTCAAAGACCCAATCCTGTTCTTGGATGTGATGCTTCCGGAGGAACCAGCCTACATGCCCCCGATGAACATTGCAGTGCGCGATCATCGTGCATTCGGTCAGAAACCCAAGGTTGGAATGCACGTATTGAAAGATTTGACCCCATTCCAAATGGAGCCACGGACCACCAAACATGATCCCATATTGAGTATTCCATGTAAGCGGGAAATTTTGTATCGGACTGTGAAAGTTTTGACCCGTATTTCGCACGTTTGTAAACTGATCAATGTAAGTTCTTGTGGGTATCTAATGATAAACTTGAAATAGCTGCACCGCTAGAGGAACTCATTTCGCACTCTTGATCGCGGACGAATAATATTCGGAGAGTGAAAAAACAAAAAAATAAGCAATAAACGGTTATAACATTTTTACTCCGTAATAAAACTGCAGTTAACTCAAGCCGATTAGGTGGCATCAAGCGTTTTTGGACGCACAGGATTGGCTCGAGGTGGACGATTGATTACTGTCTCGAATGTCCGTACATCCTGTGGATCTCCAAAACTTCATTTACTCTCACAGGAAGAGAATAAATAAAATAACTTATGGGAAAAACGGTAGAATGCATGCAATTGAAACTGTAGCTTTCCCATTCATGGTTCTCTTCAAACTTGGTGAAAGATAGATACGGAGAGGAATTAAAACTGAGTCTTTATGAATATAGTTTCCATTTGGCTGAACACAATTAAACTCATCCAGATCTGTGGTCCTAACATGCACTTTATCGTCAAGAGCTCGATGCACACGTCACTTCATAGTGGGTCACATGGTCCTTTGTTCAGCACCTATTCACAAAACAATTTGTCTGCTCCGCCCATTCGAATGAACTTACTTTCTCTTCCAGTTTCGGCCACGTGCAAGTGATTTTATTTGTGCCAGACATTGAACCCCGCTCGTGCTATCACTTACTAATGCATCATCTGTATCACTTTTCTCAATAAAGATCGGTTTCACCTTGCAATCATGTGCATGCGTACATGCATGCATGTATACACACACATACAAGGTATACTACAATTTTGGTTCCCTCTGTGCATTGTTTTCTCTAATGGCCTCTGCTGAGGAAGCCCTACTCACTGCATTCTCCTGGTGGAGGTGTTTTCCCACCAAAGAGGGAGGACGAAAAGCCGACATCTGTGACTATAACCGGGTTCCTGGACTACTGGTAGTTCACCAAGGGGAGTTGACCGAAATCCCTGATTCTAGACCAACCATGAGGAGGCGTACGAACCACACACACCTTTTCGATTGTGGCAGTGGTCACCGGCTCGATTGGGCATCGAGGTGTATTGGGCACCTTGGACGTTTGACCCCATCCAAAGGGCGAATGATTCGATTAACTGGACACCGGATCCCAATGGATTGCGGTTTTCGTACACTGCCCCGCTGCCTTGCGGGTCAGGCTTTGGTTAGCCGAAGACTCCGGTTTTGGATTCTTTATGAAGATCCCCCTGCCTTGGCCTGGGCGACCTGACAGTATTCAGCTCACAAACCATGGAACGGTTTTCCTTTTTCATAAAGAATATTGTGCCTTAATTTGTTTGGCACACAGTCTGGATTGAGACGTGTCCTAGTTTTTGATCAGCTATTCACTGCCTGTGGATGAGTGCAACCAATCAACGCTGAGTAAATTGGATGAGTCCATATGAATGAGGGAACTTCAGCCAGCGAACGGCAACACCATCTTTTGACGGCCTTGTTGGTGTTCTGTTGCGGAGTAAAGCCTAGAAATATCATGCCAGGCAGCCACGATCGGAGAAGAGAATAGCAAAATCCTGCAAAATATGTTGATCTACAAAGTTGGAAAAAATATTGTGAAGCTTAAAAATACATGAAACTATGGGCATTTCCGTTTCCCAACAAAGCACCCAGTGTCTGAGAAATTCTACCGGAGTCTTTCAGACATTATTCTCTCGACTTGTTTCCATCATAATGACACAAACCCATCTGAATTCAAACAAAGTAATTTTAGCTTATTTTCGGCTCAACACACTGGTTTTATTACTCTGATCTCGTCCAACTGCAAAACTTGGTCGCAATTAAAAAAGATACTGTTTACCTACTATTGTATCTCTCCCTCCGTCATTATTAATATTTCCTTTTGTAAAACTCGTCATGCATACCTCTCATACCATCTGAATTCTGCCCCGTCCCACCCATTATTGTTTCGTTCACAAGCACTCACTGAGCCAATGTCTCTCGCCGCAGGGAGCGAACCAGCTCCACCGCCAGCTGAAGACCCGAAGAAGCCGTCGAAAGATGCCACACTTACGAAAAAGAAAAAGAAGTTCGTAAGTCTGTAACAGTTCATGGAAATGGGATAGACTTCTAGTTTAATATTTTCCTTTTCTGAACACTTATGAGACCCCTTTTGTGCATATAATAACGATGTGATATATGATATAAGGACAACCTCTCTGGGGCGTACATTATCAAAAACATCCGCACTGCTTCATCATCAACTCTGGTAGCAACCAGTCGGTTAGTTTTGTTTAGTTTTGCTGTTTATTTCATCCACATGCACCTGCTAACTCGGTCAACATCAGGGTTTCACATGTATCTAATTTATGGTACCGGTTGACTGTTATCAAAAAAATTTTAAGTAGAAGACATGTAGTACGGTACGTGTGGTACAAACAATTTTTTACTTCATTCCATCAATGCAATTAACCACTTCTTATCCATGAGTTAGAGAAAATGAAATCTGACTTTCTGTTTCCGCTTTTTTTCGTAGATTAGTAAACGTATCTAATGGTGCATAATTTGATTAACTATCTCCATATGTATCAACCCATTTTGTATTTGATGGCTTTATTCATTGACTAATCTAGTGGCTGTTCCATTGCCTATTGGATTGATTGATTGATTGATTGATTGATTGATTGATTGATTGATTGATTGATTGATTGATTGATTTCGTTGAGTACCATTTAACCTCTTTGTTAGGAAGTGAAGTCAGTGGTATACATCTTCCGTAATTGCTACAGCTACTATCACAGCATTTCTGTTTTGATGTGACGCTGATGGGTGAAATTCAGTCACTGACCACCAACTCAATCGTCATCTCATTCATTCGATGTGCTGTTCAAGACTCACTTGTGATATACGGTTGCGTTTTCGGTTGCACTTCAAAAAAAACAGTTAATCAGAATTAT